ACCCGCAGCGCCAGACGAGGTGCCGGGGCGCTGCTGCGAAGCAGCCGCCGCTGGCACCACCCGCCGGTCTGCACCACCACCATGCCGCCTGTCGCCCGACGCCACGCCGCCGTCGCTGGCCTACTCCAGAGCGCCGCCGCACCGCTACGCCCGGCACGAGCGCAGCATCCCCACCGGCGAGATCCGGCCCGCGCCGCACCCCCCGCGCAAGGAGACGAGATGGCCCCGCCGCCGGCGGCAACGACCGGGCTTCGCCCGCTCGTGCCCCTTGGCGGCGGCGAGGGAGGAGAGAGAGAAGGGGAGGGTGGCGGCGGCGGCGCTAGGGTTGCCCCCGGACGCCCGCGGGAGCGTCGCGGGAGGGGAGGGGAGGTCAAAAGGGGGGGGGGTATCCCTCCTCATCCCATTTGCTGGACCAAAATGAAAAAACAATGACACGATCGACGAACAGCGGTAGCTCATCTCATCACAATATGCGTAAAAGGATTGCTATCCCAGCAATGGTATCTATGATGGAAATATTGATTGTTACGGTCTCTATCTTTATCTACTTAACCCTATAAAAGCAAGAGAAGGCGGAGAACCAGATCATCCTGTCCATCAAAACCTGCAATCTGATGATCTACATCGCTCCAGCATACTAAACGTGTTTTATGCCTTAATTACCCACCATGTCATTGCCTTAATTAATTACCCACCATGCCATCGGGTAACATCTACTACCCCTGTATCGAAAAAGAGAGGGGGCTAATCCTACCCCTTGCCTCGAAAAACAAAAACCGCTCCGCACGCCATGCCCGCACCACACCCGCACCACGACCTCGCCCGCCCCACCTCCCAGCGGACGCCAATCCTCCCCCTCGTCCGCCCCGTCCTCCGCCCGCCGATCCACTCGGCCTCCGCCGCCTGCCGATCCACTCGGCCTCCGCCGCTGCCCGCCGCCCTAAATCCTCGCCCTCCTCCGCCACCGCCGCTCAGCTTGGCCTCCTCCGCCGCACGTGAGGAGGTGGAGGGTGAGCGCGGTGTCCCGGAAGGTGGCGAGGCGGAGGCGGGGGAGTAACGAGATGGTCGCCGGGTTGTGCTTCCTTGCAGTGCGGAGGGTCGAGGTGGAGGCCGGGTTCTGCTTCCTTACGGTGCGCGCGGTCGAGGTGGAGGTGGAGGCGGAGACGGAAGGCGGCAAGGAGGGTCGAGGTGGCCGCCGGGTTCTGCTTCCTTGCGGCACGCACGGTGACGCCGGCTGCTGCCCACCCCAAATCACACTCCACAAACGCACGCCTCTCCCAACTCAGGCCATCCCCGAACAGCGACCACGATGCCCCACCGCTGCCCCCTTCGCGACCACACTCCCCACGATGCCTGCCGGTTCTCCGCCGCCTTGCCTAGGCCGTCCTAGAACCGCCGCAGTCACAGCTACAGTCAGGTTACCACCACTTCCTATTCTTGGTTCTGATCTCTGTATGTCCTTAGCAGTATATATACAGTTGTGGTATACTTCAATGAACTGGGAGTTGCCCATCTCTAGCTTCATAGGTGTTGACATCTGTTGCAATTCCTATCACATTGAACCAGTTTTATATTAGTGATCTAAATGCTCTTGTATTAGTTTACAGAGGGAGTACCAGCTACCGATCTGTCGCATTTTATCCACCATGTCATGCTTGCTCTCTATGTTATCTTCTGTCTTTGTATGAATTTCATTTTGCTTGCTGCAATAGCAGTAGACTGATTTGTCCTCAGTTTTGAGGTTAGGCTAATTTGAGCGAAATGCAGTTAAAAGCAAGAAGCAGTTTTAACCAGTGAAACTGAATATTATTCTCTGAAGAGACATGCCTTCTTGATTGACGAACATGTTATCCATGTTCAGGTAAATGCCATGCGTCTTTTCTGAACACTGTGGTCGTGCTCCACAATTCAGATACTATTGTGAGTTATTGTAGTGATATAGTGTTCATCTACTACTACCCTTATAAAAGCATGAAGTTTAGATCTTTCTGTTGTGCTGAATATGCCGGATTATTTGATAAGCTATGCTATTTATGTTGAAATAATATAAAATTATATGCAAAGCTCTGCAACTGCCTTGAGTAGGTGATAGTTAAGAAGAACATAGTATGTGATGGTCCAATTAGGAAGAAATATAAGTCGACAATGCTGCTGATTGGTGGCACTGATAGTCCCAACGCCTTTGCTCTTGGATCATTATTCAAGCTTATTTTTTCCTACAACAAGAAAGAGGATGTTGAAGGAGGTATTGCAACTAGAAAGGCATCTGGTTTACAACTTGATTCTGAACTTTGTTCAAACATGCATGATTGTTTTATCCTCTGAAGACAATATGAAAGCTTTTGCCATGTTATTACTTTTTAAAGTTCCATAAATTGAATAATCTTTAGAATGCACGTAAGTATTTTCATATGAAACTGTTCATCCATTGGTAAATTCTTTTCCTACTCTTCTGCATCTGAAATATTTCCAATTACCACGCTGAAATGAAGACTTTTCTTGCTCTTCTACTGAATAAACAAGAGCGTCATAGTATGTAGCTCAATGATGCTTAGGTAGTGGTAATTATTTATTGGCATAGTGTTTGTCTGCTTCTCATCAATGAGCTCATCATGGATTTTTTTTAAATGTCGAGGCATTTATTTTGTAGAGTTTGATGTTGTTATTGTTATGTAGCATCACATGATTTCATAGAATTTGACGGAAGTTATGTTGATCCCTTGCTTAAAGAATTTTTAGCAAAAAAGCAGATCCTATTTGTTTCTCATTAGTTAGAGAAAAAACGAACAAGTGAACTCCAATTGCTATAATTTTTTTTTTGCAAAAAAACTAAAATGTCATTAAGCACCGTGTAGTACTAACATATGACTGACTTATTAGTCACAAACCGTGTAGTGAAAAAGTTTGAACTATTTAGATATCGGACAATCAGTTGGACTTCATGTCCATATGTGACCAAGTAGTTTTAGGCTGATAAGTATCACTAGAACCAGCCTGAAATTTGACCTCTCGGAACATAAAAAGCAGAGGCTTACTTCAGCAGCATGTGGTCAGTTCCCCTCACGGGCTACCATCTGTCTCAGAGTTTGGTTTTTTTGGGAGATTTCAGGATAGAAAGGCAGCTTTGGAGAGGGGTCGCAAAGATCAAGGCTATTGTGTCAAGTATTGTGCTCAAAACATCCATCGGGTGCATCCATATCACTACAAAAAAATACACTTCCATGATGATACGTGTTTGTCGCAGCAGGTCGCGTTTTCTGTCATGCATGTACATCCATGACAAATTTATGACAGAATCAAGATAGTCATACATGTGCTGTCGTAGAAGTGTTCCATGACATTACCAAAATTATCATCATGGAAGTGTCCACTTCCATGACGATAAATCGCGCGTCACAGAAGTGCTTTCGTCAAGGGTGACAGACACATGGCATCCACCGTAACGGAACGCCGTTAAGCTATCGGGTCGGATTTTGGATCCGATAACCCGTTAACAGCCACGACCAATGCCAATTTTCCACGTGTAAAATTCTCATTGGCTGACGGATCCACGCGTCAGCTCCGCGTTGGCACAGGTGTCACTCATCCAACGGTCGAGATGGGCCTATGATATGTTGACACGTGGACCGGCCCATAAAGTTTAAATGGGCCGGGACAATCGAAGGCCCATAAGATTTAGCGGGCCATAATGGGCCGGCCCAGCTAAAGGCCCACAAAATTTAGCGGACCATAATGGGCCGGCCCAGCTAAAGGCCCACATGAATTTGTAGACCATAATGGGCCAGCCCAGCTAAAGGCCGACACGAATTTGCAGACCATAATGGGCCGGCCCAGCTAAAGGCCCACAAGATTTTGCGGACCACAATGGGCCGGCCCAGCTAAAGGCCCACAAGATTCTGTAGACCATAATGGGCCGGACCAGCTAAAGGCCCAACATTCTTTGTCAAATCGGTCCGTCAACGGCCTGTCCTAAACTTGTCATCAACGCGGCCCATGGTCACTTCTGGCCCGTTAACAGTCCGCTAAGTAATTGGGCCGAATTACGGCCCGGTGTATTTCCAGCATGTTAAAGGTCCGCCTTCATTTGGGCCCATTTACAGGCCATCAAAACTTTCGGCCCATAAACAACCGTGAAGGATTTGGGTCATATTCGGCCATGTCTGACACTCATCCTGTTAGAGGCCCACTATAGATTTGGGCCCCTTTCGGCTTGTTTTCATTTCCGGCCTGTTAACGTCGGACGTAAAACCATGGGCCATATGTGGCCCAACGTCATATCGGGCCTGAGGGAGTCCCGGACTAGGGGGTGTCCGGATAGCCGAACTACCATCATCGGTCGAACTCCAAGACTATGAAGATACAAGATTGAAGACTTCGTCTCGTGTCCGGATGGGACTTTCCTTGGTGTGGAAGGCAAGCTTGGCGATACGGATATGTAGATCTCCTACCTTTGTAACCGACTCTGTGTAACCCTAGCCCTCTCCGGTGTCTATATAAACCGGATGGCCTTAGTCCATAGGACTAACAACAATCATACCATAGGCTAGCTTCTAGGGTTTAGCCTCCTTGATCTCATGGTAGATCTACTCTTGTAACCCACATCATCAATATTAATCAAGCAGGACGTAGGGTTTTACCTCCATCAAGAGGGCCCGAACCTGGGTAAAAACATCGTGTCCCTCGTCTCCTGTTACCATCCGCCTAGACGCACAGTTCGGGACCCCCTACCCAAGATCCGCCGGTTTTGACACCGACATTGGTGCTTTCATTGAGAGTTCCTCTGTGCCGTCGCGATCAGGAAGGATACCTTCTCCCGTCTTTAAAGACGGCACCGTCGTCAAGAGAGCTTTGGCCGCCGGCCAAACTGTCCGGCTAGGTGGTTTTCTTATGACCACCTGTTCGGCCACCGCTCCGATGATGACCTCTCAGGTCATCAAAAGCGATCTTCACGTCAGCCCGGAATTCACCGAGCAGTTAGATCCGATTGAGCTCTCCTCTGTAAACGAGCTCTTGGATCGCATCGCCGCCCTGGGAGTCGCCACAGACTACGATCAGATTGGGCTTAAACCCGATCTGAGAGAGATTAACTCTCCTCAGGCCACCCACCACGTTGTCGTGGTAGAGGAACAATGCGGCAACCCTTCTTCTACGTTGAAAACCAACTATGTCCGGATTCCCGATCCCTCCAAGCCGGATTCCCGTGAAGGGACGGACGCTAATCAAATACTGAACTTAGAGTCAGGCATTAGACTAGATTCGTAGGAAAGCATCCAGCAAGTCAAGCTTCCAAATCCGGAAACTTCTTGGCCTTTGAGCCTCAGATCGGGCGGGGTCCCGAACTTGATTCCACCCACCCACCCAAACATAAGCGATCTATCTCGAATACGGCAAGAGCCCGATGAAACAATACATCATTACTGGGCCAGATTCCTCCTGGTTATGAACAGGATAAAGGACTGCTGCGAAGAAAGCGTGATTTCAATTTTCTGCAACAATTGCACGGACAAGGGAATCATGAACGCCATAAGTCATCGCGAAGTTACACGCTTCATCGACCTAGCGACTATCGTACAAAAATATTGTGCGGTAGAGAGTGCCAGGAACACCGAAACTAGGTTTTGGGACAGTCCGGCCTTGACCACAACCCTAGTCCGAAGTAAAAGGGTGCGCCATACTCAAGCACGTGGGTTAAAAACCAAAAAGCAAAGACCCCCTAAAGGGCATGGAACCGTACTGGAGGGCTGGCTCAACGGACCCTGCAAAATCCACAGTACGGAGGGTGCCACTCCAACGCACAGCCTTCGAGCATGTTGGATACTACGGCAGGTGGCCAAAAGTGGCGAAGGCTTTTTAGCCCCGGGCAAACAGCCCAGCAGTACCGGTACGGTATTAACAGTCTTCGAGACTTTCGCATCAAATAACATGTGAAAACAAACAATCCGCGGCCTCGCCGAAGTCTACCAAGTAGCAACAGCAAATCCATGGAGTGACACGGCTATCACCTTCAACGCCAGCGACGAACCTAAATTCCGAACAGCTAGAGCACCAGCCGCATTGGTCCTCAGTCCGATAGTGGACGGCTTTCGCCTTACCAAGGTACTCATGGATGGCGGCAGCGGATTAAACCTCATCTACGAGGAAACCCTTCAAAAAATGGATATTGACTGGAGCCGCATCGAGCGAAGCAGCACAACCTTCAGAGGGATAATCCCTAGTCAAGAAGTACGCTGCACAGGAAAAATCACACTAGATGTAGTGTTCGGCTCACCGGACAATTACAGGTCCGAGGAGGTCACGTTCCAAGTGGCCCCATTCGGCAGCGGATATCACGCTTTGTTAGGGCGAGAGGCATTCACAATCTTCCAAGCTATACCCCACTACGGGTACATGAAGCTCAAAATGCCCAGACCCAATGGGATAATCACTCTTGCCAGTGATCCAGATACAACACTCCGCGCTGAAAATAAGACAGCCGCACTGGCCCTAGAGGCATTGTCCGAAGCCCTAGCGGCAGAGGAACTAACTACGTTGCGCTCCATGGTGGATAGGGACGATGTGATACTCGATAAGAGGTCCAAGTCCACCTCTTTTAAACCAGCAGACGAAATAGTCAAATTTCAGGTCCATCCAACGGACCCCACAAAGACGGCCTCCATTGGGGCACAATTAAGTCCTGATGTCGAAGCCGCACTATGAGAATTCCTTTGGGAAAATTAGGACATTTTTGCCTGGCACCCTTCAGACATGCCAGGAATCCCACGCAGGCTGGCAGAGCACAGCCTAAACATCCTAAAATGATTCAAGCCGGTCAAACAAGCTCTTCAGCGATTTTCCGAACCCAAAAGACAGGCAACGGGAGAAGAGCTAGCCAAACTCTTAGAAGCCGGATTCATCAGAGATATAAAACATCCGGACTGGCTAGCCAATCTAGTAATGGTACCAAAAAAGGACAAATCCTGGCGCCTCTGCGTCGATTTTAAAGACCTTAACAAGGCCTGTCCAAAGGACCCTTTCCCCCTCCCTCACATCGACCAAATCATCGGTGCTACCGCAGGACACGATTCATTGTGCTTCCTCGACGCATACTCCGGATACCATCAAATCAAGATGGCGGAGAAAGACCAGGCCGCAACGACATTCATTACTCCATATGGGCCATTCTGCTTCAACACAATGCCCTTCGGACTCAAAAACGCCGGCGCAACATATCAGCGCATGATTCAAACATGTCTGGCTACCCAGATAGGCAAAACAGTAGAGGCATACGTAGACGATGTGGTCGTCAAGACCAAACACGTCGAAACTCTAGTAGAAGACTTGAGGGTGACATTCAACA